CCCTCCCCCTCCTCCCCCTCCTCCTCCTCCTCCTGTGTTCTCTGATAGGCAGCCATTGTCAAGGTCACAGCAATAAAAGGCTGTGCTAGTGAGGTGACTGCTGTGTAAAGCTGTAATGATGTTGGCTAACAAGGGGCCCAGACCCTCTGACAGACAGGCCCCTAGTGTTTTATTCACTGGCCCTTCAGTCTCCTGTGAAGTTTCAATGCTGCACCTCGTCACACTCCCTGCAGCTTCTGTGTGTCTGTGTTTGTGAATGCATATGAGTATACATGCATGTGTGTGAATTATGAATGTCATGTTGGAATGTTTTTATTTATTTATGGGGTTTTTATGGGTTTTTTTGCCTGCCCATCTCTCTCTCCATGTAGAAGAGTGTTCTTACTGGCTGCCACTCTATGGCAGTATGTGTTGCCGCCTTGCAGCTCAGCCTCACTGTATGACCCAACAGATGATAAGTGGACGTTTGAAAGTTAAGGTAAGCTGGAAGATGTATTTTGTCCTGATTTGTCCTTTTCTCTTCCTCTGCTCTCCTCCTCTCCTTTTTATGATGCAATTTCTCTTTGGTTTTCTTTCCCTCAATTTTGCACCACACTTCACTGATCTTCTTCTGTACCTTGCAGCAGTGTGGGGGTGACCCTCAGAGTTCGACAAAAGTGTATGCAGTTCTAAAAGGAACAAGCCTTTTCTGCTACCACCAGCAAGAAGATGTGGAGGCTAACATCGAACCTGCTTTCACCATTGCTGTCAACAAGGTCAGCAAAGGAATCGTATGGAAACAGTAGCACTAACTTTGACGCAGTAAAAAGCTCAGTCTCCAGAGAATGAGCCAGTCTTGCATAAACATACAGTGGTATATATTTAGGTAGCACCTCAGGCATTGGCAGCCTAGCTAGTAAGGAACTGGGCTTATGGATCTCTGCCAGTTTGAATTTTGAGCCAACAGCAAGAATCCGAGCCACAAAATGAGCTCTTCTCTTGTAACTACTGTCAAGGTGCCCCTGGGTAATGCACATAGCCACCAGTTGCCCAGGTAGTGCTGTTCAGAAGCCTGGAGTAGAAACCTGTTGTTTATGTGGTCAGCATTCTGTCATAACCGTGTTCAGCAAACCTAGAAAGGATCATATGTGTCTGGATTGAAAGGCTTTAAGGGCTTTCAAAATTAAATCTGTTCAGTATCTTCTTGGGTCTTTGCAATCACAATAGACTTTGCGGTCAGACCCAGTCAGAAATCAGGTTTCACTCATCCCTTCATTATTCCAGGGACCAAAGTGAGAACATTCAGTAAGCAAGCCAGTCAGGCTCTCAATCATCCTGTTTCCTGTGTCTATGTCTGAGAGTTGATGCACATGGGGCTTATCATTCTTTCCATAGTGACTCATTCAGTCTTTTTTTGCCTCTGACTCTGAGCACACAACTGACCTGAAGTCCAGTCAGTCAAATCAGATCACGTCTTCATGATGCTTTGTTAGTGAGCTATCTGGCTCTTCTAAAGAGGAAAGAGTAAGCGCTGAGTGATGAATGGATGAATGGAACAATACTGCCATCTAGTGACCATACACAAACCCAAACACACAGAGCAGAATGAGGAGGTGAGAACAGGGAGGTTGCACCTTTGCTGGATAATTGCTGAAGGAAAATGGTTTGAAAGAAGACTAATTGGTGGCTTTATTAGTGAGGACTTACAATTGCCATAATAATCTCTTGTTGCAGCATGTAACCTTGTTCATTCAGAAGTATCAGCATTCATTCCTAATCCCAATCATTTTGTGGTAGGTGATCACATTCTTTGTTGCTACCATGTTTCAGGAGACCAGAATACGTGCCTCAGAGAAAGATCCGCACAGTAATGTTCAGAATATCTGTATCAGTAACCAATATGGAGGTGAGGAGGTCACACACACTCTGACTACAGAGAGCCGCGAGGACACTCACCGATGGATGGAGGCTTTTTGGCAGCATTTTTATGATATGAGTAAGTGCCTGTTATGCTGTAACACAGTGTGTGTGGTATACACACACTACATCCAATCACTCACAGATTTTTACTATTTTTACTACTACTTAAAGCACTCTCGGCAGCATTTCGACTGCTTGGTTTGTTGAAGGTGAAGGTTTGTCTTCAATATGCAGGCCAGTGGAAGCAGTGCTGTGATGACTTAATGAAAATTGAACTGCCATCACCAAGGAAACCAGCTCCTGCCACACCAAAACAGGGTTCCCTTTACCATGAAATGGGTAAGACCTCTCCCTGATCAAAAATCATCTTTGTCACCTTTAATCTAATAGAAAAAATAACAGGGAAGACAGGGAAAGAAAGCACTGTGCCCACAATGCATGTGACTGTGTGTAGCTTCAGTTCCTTGGGTCTATGTGCATGAGAGATGCTTTCACAATTAAATTTTCTTCTCCAATATCTCAAACTCACACTCTGCTTTACTTCTCTGTACTGTAGTCAGAATGGGTCTTATCTCTGACATGCTGACTCACTCTCTGTCTTCTGTTTCTCTGTTCCTCTTTGTCCTCTTCAATTGTTCTTGTGTGTCCTGAATCTATCACTCCTTGCCTTTGCCTCTTTTGTCCTTTATTCTTTCCTTGTGTCCTCATAAATTATTCATGATTGATACCACATTTTTCTTCAACTTGCACCATACATTTTTAACGGGTGAATTATCTTTATCCTTGAACGGTTGTTCTCCCATCACACCTTAACAATAAACACGCATCAACTCATATCAATTTCTGACATGACCATCAAAACACATTCAAATGGAACTCCAACTGTTGCACACCTTCTATCCACTCCACTGCCCCTCTCTCTCACCATACTCCCTTTTGGTTTTCCTAACCCCACTGGCAGCCCCTCTTGCAACTCCCTCCTGTGAGGGTCTTCTGCTGCAGGATAACGCTGTGTCTGCTGAGATTCGTGCTCTGCTTTCGTCCTATTACAACGACAGGTGAAGTAACAGGAGTAGGGCTTCATCTAAGTTATGTTGTGATAAATGTTACTGTCCCCAGAAGTTTGAGGTAACGGTCTGTTTTAGATGGAATTGTGCAAGCCAGGATTTCTTTCAAATTCAGGATCAGCTTTGATTTAATGATAATTTATAGATTCTGCAAAATATTGCGACAGTATTGAGACATATCCAGATCAGAGGTCTTTACATGTCTTTTTGACACCGATGACGGTCAGAAATGAACAAATGATCAGGATCAAAATGTACAATTTGCATGTTACTTGTATGTTATTCTGCACAAGTGCATGGCCTGATTGTAAGAAAAAATGCAAAACCTCTTTCTATAGTAACAAAACATCTAACCACTTCATGACTCTTCAAACTTTTCCTCCCCATAAAGTCAAGGACACCTTCTTAAGTAACATTTCACAGCTTCAGTTTGAAGTTAACATGCCACGAATAGCAAACACTTTTCAATCTGTTCAGAATCCACACTTCCTGTGGGAAGTGTGGACACACAATAAGACAATCCCAATCGATAGCCTAGAAATCTAGGGTGAAGTTATTACATTGAAAGGCACAGTTACTAAATTCATATTCCAAATTGTTCTGAGAGACCAAAATTTCAGGTTTAATCCAAACCCATAATTTTAACCTGTCAAATTAAAGAAACTTCTGAAGTCTACTACAGCAGCATAATGATGAGTCTCGCTGCATCTTTCCTGCAGTTATTGAGTCATCTGATGACCTCAGCAGCACTGTGTCAGACATTCTTGCTCGGAGAATGCAGGAGCTGGAGCTCCGCAGCCAGCTGGGCACCTCTTCCACCTGGATGTCTGTTTTTGAGGAGAACAGTGCTTGCTGCCCTCATCCATGTACTTCTCACTTGTCAGGCCCCCGTCCCTGCACCCTTCATCAGCTGTCTCGAAGCCCTGTGAGCCCTCACCGCTGCCCACAGCTGGCTCTGCTGTCCTCAGATGCAAGTCTAACGTCAGACAGCGACAGCCACCGCAGCACCAGTCCCTGCTCTCACCATCATGGTTGGCCCGAGCCTTCTTCAAACTTCTCCCTCTTGTCATCTTCCCCCTCCCATTTGAGGCCACGCACTCTGTCACTGGATGCTAAGCTCAGCACCCTTCGAGGGCGGGGGTATGGAGGAGGAGGGACCTTCCACTGCTCCTGTCAGCCTCCTCCCTCCTCACTGCTTGCCCCTCTCCCCATCTCCTCTCGTTCACCTCGGTCACAGCGCAGCACACAAACCACACTCTCTTGCTCCAGCTCCACGTCCAGCAACAGCTCCAGCAACAGTGAGGGCAGCCACAGCCCTGCTGAGGGCGCCCCCTTCTCAAGGCCCTCCATGGCTCGACGCAGCCTCAGGAACCTCAGGGCCAGACTTGATCCTCGCAACTGGCTCCAAAGTCAGGTGTGAACTTGTTTTCTCACAGGCATTTTTTGCTGGCCTAAAGCCACCAGTGCTCATTACACAATGGTTACCTGAGTTAACACAAATGAACCAACTTCAGGCTATCTGCTAGCCCATGTGCACAGCCCTGGGGAGGATAAGCTGCCTCTAGCCTGCCCTCCTAGGGCAAACTGGAATGTCATCTAACACAAAAGACAGGTGACAATCACTCTGCACTTTGCTGGGTTGCCAGTTTAGAAGATGGTCCTAAAATGAATGGGAGGTATTCTGCTTGCATTGAGAAATTATGGTCATGCTGCTTGGGAGAAAGTACTGCTAAGAGCTAACATGCCACAGTAGGCCTGCCCTGTTTTTGGAATATAACTCTGAAACTGGAAAACATTTAGTTTTGTTGCTCCATATCAGCCATTCTGGTCCTTCAAACACTCTGTTAATGTACTAGCAATATTTTGACTGGATGTTTCCTATTTGTATTTTAAAAGTAAAGGTTTGCAGTATTTCTGCTATGAAAGCTGCTAACCATCTGGCACGATGACATAAGTTATAATCGGTCAAAGAGGTTGATGTTTGTCGTCTCTACTGTGATATTGACTTCAGTGTATTTCTCTTATAATGCACACAACAGATGATCTTTGTGGTTCTCCTAAAATTACTATGCACCCTTTTGTGGTCTTTTTTTTTTTTTTTTTTTTTTTTTTTCTTTCCCTTTTTTTTAATATTTTTGATTTTTTTTTAATGAGATCATTTCATAAGTGAATCTGGTGAAACCTTAACTTAATGCAAGTGCTCATACTTACTGTACTGGTAATTACTGTGATCTCTTCAGGGTAAAAATATGTGCTCTGCTCTGTATTTGTACACATTTATCTGCGCACTGTTGACAGGCTGTTGTCAAAACCGGTTAATACGTAAAACGAACTCTAGAATAATATGAAATTAACCAAAGCTTACGTATTACTGAAAACCCAAGCTATACTTAGAATTCTGCATCACTGCAGTATTGCAGGAATAATGATTCCTGCTAATGAAAAGTCCAATAAAATGTGAAATGTCCCTCTATCAAATATCATTCAGTTCAGAAAGCTATTTTAGAAATTGTTTCCTGGTGGCTGTATTTTAGTAAAATGTCAGTCAACTGTTAGGTCATGATAGTAAGAACCAAAATTAAAACTGTTTTTTTCACACTACCACCTTTTTTGCCATTTAGTCAACTCACATAAGTTACCCCCACAACAAAAAACAAACAGAATCCAGTCTTGTAGGAGAGTCAGTGTCTCTGTCAGTACAGTAAAGCCTCTTCTTCTGTCTCTGTCGTTTACTGTGGACTTTGGCCTTTGCTAACAGTTTCCCTCATGGGGCTCAGAACTCAGACGACCAGATTTACTAAGATTTAAAACTGTCAAATGCTTGAAATACAATTAATTTAATAAGTTAACAGATAAAACCTCTTCTCCTTTTGTTACATAATTGTTTTTGTTATAAATGCAGCTATATTGATACCAGATTATCAGAATGTTAACAGATGATGTGTAGATATTTAACTGTTATGGGAAGATAACATTGAATGTTATAACCTTGCAAGTTTCTCCTGCTAGCAGGCTTTGTGTTCTGCATGTTTGACGGCCTAGAGGGCAAAAATAGAACAAGAAGTTTCATGTTTAAATAATATAATATTATAATAAATGTTTATAAATTTATACTGCATGTTTGACGGCCTAGAGGGCAAAAATAGAACAAGAAGTTTCATGTTTAAATAATATAATATTATAATAAATGTTTATCAATTTATACCTTTCTTGTTTATCTCATCTACATCTGCCTTGTCTACATGTAATGTGATCTGATATCAATATTTTAGATCATATAGTTTTGTTACATGTACATTTGTCAAAGTTAAAATCTTTTAAAATGTTCCAAAATCAAAATGTATTGCTGTGAACCTCACATTTTTTTTAAAAATGTGACTGTATGACACTTATAATTACACTGCAATGCAGGCAATACACATGTAAACGTTTTAAAACACCCTACAGTATTTTTCACTCGGTATAATGGACTAGAAAAATCTCTTCTCTTCTGCATCACTATGAAACATCTTTGTTTAGTGGAAGAGCTTGTTATCATATCACAAATGTGCTAAGACATTCTGCACTTGGAACATATGATGGATCATTCCTATCCAATTCTGTTCTGCTTATTTCTCCTTCCACCAACAAATCCCATAGAAAATACATTATGTGAAAGAGTGAATATAACATGCTCCTGAAGTCTCTTGTAGAAACATCAAGAAAAGCAGGTAGATCAAAGGTTTTATTGTGTTTCAATTGCAAAGCTGTAGAATAGTCAATAGTACAAAGCACTCTTAAACATAGGAGGTAGTCAACACTGGGTCTTCACTGAGCATTGTAATATGCATAGAGAAATACTATGGCCGTATTGACTGTGTTTGAAATGCCTCATAGGAGAACCCAAAGCTCCCTGCTTTCTGTATGTAGTGCAAAGCTGTACCATTGTTGTGCTATTATAACTTCACCTCTGCCTAAAGTATAAAAACCATACATCTAATAATATTCAGACCAACATATACATCGGTATATAGAGAATCACACTAATAAATACTTCATATTTTATGTCTTATGATGGTGATTATGTAAATGAAAAGGGGTATTTTTCCACACAGTTTGGCAATGATATAATCTGTGTTGGATTACATAAGTAGATGAACAGTGTTACATTAAGTTGCAGGTAAATTAGTCACCCTCTTTCATGTTATCCACATTTAAACAGCTGTATCCTTGTGTACTTGTGCTACCTCCATGATCGTGTCTCGTTAACAGGCACTCCGCGGGTTGCACGCCCGCAATGCCACACCAGCCAGCGTTCTCCAGGCAAATGTGGAGAACTTGGCAGGGCAGGTTCCAGCTCTGCTGATATAGGTGGATGCAAGCCGATGGAGCCGCTTCGCGCCAAAGGTATTGTAGTGTCCTGGAAGAACTTGGTCAACCTGTTGACCAATGAATTTGCCATGTTGTTAAACATTTTAAAATGATGATCAGTGCATGCTACCTGAATTCCTAAATCTCGTGATTTACACAGAAATGACTTGTGTTATGCATCTTTAACATACATTTTTTTTAGAAGAACACTTTTGTTGGTGGTGAATAAAAGTCAGCTCAGCATCTAAATTTACATTCACTTGTATTAAAAGCATTATTAAAGCAGCATGAAATTTTCATTACAAATGTAACATGTCTTGGACAGTGGGATTGGATACCTTGTGCTGCCAAGCTCAGTTAATCTGATCTAAGATTGTGCAGCTACAAGGTGAAATGATAAGGCCGCCCTGTGCTTTGCTTCTGTGTTACCTGTTCGCTGTCCACCAGCCCAACCAAACGCTCACAACTGCTGACGTAGTCACTCACGCGGCTGTAGGGCAGCCAGTCAATCATGGCACCATCATACACTACATCTCCACTGAAAAGCAACTTATTGTCACGGTCATGGAGGCAAATGCTGCCCCGAGAGTGACCGGGCATGTGAAGCACCGTCAGCTGTCTGTCACCGAGGTTGATGACATCACCTTAAACAGAAGAGATAAAATCATGTGCACGTACAGTCACAATATAATACGTACAGTGAGGAACAGAAGTATTTGAACACCCTGCAATT